GTCTTATGTATGTGTACATATATAGATATAGATCCAGCTATTCAGATATACTTTAAAAGAATTATTATTATGTAGATATATGTGTATGTATACACATATATAATTTTGATACCTTTATATTTGTAATTGATACATAATTTTATATTTATTGGGTACATAGTACTGTTTTGATGTATCTAATGTATATAGTGATCAGATCAGGGTAATTAGCATATCCATCATCACAAACACTTATTTTTTCTTTTTTACAAACTCTACGTATTGTGTCCTGTTTTTATTGCCTAATATTGTATCCAGGCCAATTTTCCATGATTTTAAAAGTCTTTTTAGAAACCACTTTGCAAAAAATTCTGCATAAGATTCCATCATAGGGTTTTAGTGAAATCATGTCGTGCTATAAATACAGAGCAGAGTAACTAGTAACAAAGCGTTCATCAAACAGCCTGATATGAGCACACACCAGCCCCCATTTTAGGATCTGCTGCCTTAGTGACACCCATCAGGCAAAGTTCACAATTTTATTCAACAGCCATTTCACTGGTGCTTTTGTGAAGTGAAGAAAATAAAGTCTTCTGCAGTAAGAAACTACGTTCTTTCTTTCTGGAATTAAAAAATTATCTTAGTGGCTCACACAATTCCTTGAGCAGATGGGTGATAAATTCGGTTATTTACAACATCAGTGGGGCACAGGATTGACAGCAGGCTAGAGCCCCTGTGATGCCTCCCTCAGCAGTACAGGCCCCTGGTGGGCAAGACCTGTGCAGGGTTCATCTTCATGTCCCCCTAAGCACATGTCCCCCACACACCCGGCATATACACATAGTGAGCACTCATGCTCATTAAGCTTTTGTGAGCCCTGTCTTAGTCTGTTCAGGCTGTGATATTGTCAGATATTTGTACCTGCCCAAATCTCACTTTGAAATGTAATCCCCAATGTTGGAGGTGGGGCCTGGTGGGAAGTGACTGGGTTATGGGGCTGGATCCCTCATGAATGGCTTAGTGCTTCCTCATGATCGTGAGTGAGTTCTCATGAGACCTGGTTGTTTAGGAGTGTGTGACCCCCTCACCACCTCTCTCTTGCTCCTGCTTTCACCATGTCATGTGGAGGCTCACACTTTGCCTTCCACCATGATTGGAAGCTTCCAGAAGCCTCCCCAGAAGCAGAAGCCATCACTATGCTTCCAGTACAGCCTGCAGAACCATGGGCCAGTTAAACCTCTTATAACTTACCCAGTCTCAGGTGTTTCTTTGTAGCAATGCAAGAACTACCGAAAACAGGCTGCTATAACAAAATGCCTTAGACTAGGTAGCTTGTAAACAACAGAAATTTATTTCTCAATGGAGATAATTTGTAACACTGAAACCTAAAGTCCTCCAAATAAATGCTGCATTGCAACAAAATAAATAAATAAATAAAGTGAACCTGCTCTCTCACCCCAGAAAAAGAAATCTATTTCTCACCGTCCTGGAGGCATGAAGTCCAAGATGAGGCACGAGCAGCTCTGGTGTCTGGTGGGAGCGCTCTGCTTCACAGATGGGAATTTGTTGCTGTGTCCTCACATGGCACAAGGGGGGGAAAAGGCTCCCTTCAGTCTTTTACGAGGGCACTAATCCCATTCATGGATCACTAGTCTGCCCTCATGGCTTAATCACTTCCCAAATGGCCCTACTTCTCAATATGATCACATTGGGGATTCAGTTTCAAATATGAATTTGGGGGGACACCAACATTCAGACCCTAGAAAGCACCTACTTTTGGCCTACTTAGCCAGATGCTGAGGAGGAGTTTTTACTTGAAGTTTTGTAGGAGGATAAAATACATACATTTGTAAGAGAAAGAAACAGCAAATGTAACTGTGGTTAAGTGAATCTGCTGTGTTCCCATTCTGGTCTCTGACCTAGAGCACCATGTGACACAGTGCCCAGCTGAAGCAGAGGATGAGAGAGAAGCCTGCAGAGCTCTCCAGGCATGGTGATATCTTAGTGGTGGCACATAGCTCAGGCAAACCCTTCAACATAGCCTCGAGCAGCACAAACTCCATGCTCCAAAGTATGGCGGACCCGCCCAGCACCTCCTTAGAGCATCTCCTGGCTCCTCTGCCTGGCCAGTTTCTAACTCTTATTCTGTATTTTCTGGATCCTATTCTGATATCCCCATTTCCTCAGCTTTGGGCTCCTTCCATTCATACTCGCAGGATTCCATCTTTCCCTAATCTCACTGTTTCACCGCCTTGTGACTCAGACTGAATCTAATACACATTCCTGACCCTTGAACACCACAGGTCTTGCTATATTGCATGCCATCCTAGGTCCAAGGGTGATGGCCCACAAAGCTACTGCCTCCCCCCCCCATTTCCCAGGTAGAACATGCTGCTATCATGTGTGTGTAAAGCAGACTGCCAGCATTGTGGCATCTATGCATCAGCGAACTGGCTCGGTTGGAAATTCACAAGGACACACCCTGACTGTGGAAGGTCTGATGCTCTTCACTTGGGAGGAGGGGAAAATGGGCTATGTGGACCTGAGCAATGAATTCCTGATATGGTGTGCTCCCAAGCCTTGGATGCCAAAGCAAGGAAACCAAAGAATATACTCAACTAGATCTTCCCGTACTGGGTTAATGCCTGCAACTTAGGCATTTCAGTAAAAGCCACTCTCCTTTCATTTAGTTAAAAACCGCATGACACCAAATATATGCAAAACACATGGAAGAGTTTATGCATTTCCCATAGCTGATCGCAATTACAAAATTCTCAGTTGAAAGTTTCCGAAACCCAACTTACATCATCTCAAGCAAAACATGAGATTCGTGGGGTCCATGCAACTAAAACACACAGGAGTGTAATTGCCATGAGAGCTTAGATTAGAACATCAAACTTGGTCTTCTTTTTATCTTGCCTTGTTTTCATTTTAAATGGCTACATTTAGGCAGATACTTGCTATATAATGGCAAGAGAACTCCCAATGGCTCCAGATTTATATCCTACAATCTAACAGCACCAGTGCAAAGGGAACTCCTGTCTCCCAGGAGATTCTCAACCGTTCTGGAATCAAACCTCATTGCTTGGGCTCCTGGCCTTAGTCAGGAATCAACCACTGTGAGCAAGGGAAAGAGATAAATCATACAATCTGAAAGCTGAGAAAACACTGTTTCTCCAAAACAAAATCAGGGAGCTATTATCAGAAGAAAAAATTATTACTTGAAGGCAAAAATAACAAATATTCCCAACAATCCACCCCCACTTGGCTTCTCATTTTCTATACACATCCTTCTTACCATTTATTCAATTTCAGTAATATCTCTACCTAACATAATGCAACTATGCTACATACTTCCAAAAATTAAGTCATTCCCTCCCCAGTCATAGACAACCCAAAATTGTGCCCAATTTTGCACCCAGCTCCAAGAACAAGATCTCAAGGTCCTATAAATTTCTATCAATGTCATCTGGATGTAGCAATTCACAGCAATTCACAATTTACCACAATTTACCCTATAGGCTAAATGATCAACGTAAACAACCCAACACACTCAGTATATAAGACAGAACATATTATAATAGAATTTCCCACTTGGGAATGAGAAGGGGAAAGAGCCTATTGTGATCACCAGTCCTTTATGTATAGCATGGTCTGTTGGACAAGAGCAGCAAGGACTCACACTAGCAGGGGACTGAGGTCCTTGACCAGCCGATGCGACAACCCTGCTTCCACTCTCTGAGACGGTCCCCTTTGCCAGTCATCCTCCATTTCCACATCTGAAGTGGGACCCTGAGAGGATCCTTTAGAGGATCCCATTTCCAGATGTTGCAGGTTTGGGAGCAGGGGTTTACCTTGGGGCTGATCTGTCAGAGGCCCTTTTTAGCTATGCTGGGATTTTTCTGGCAAAGCAATTCCTCAAGAAGTTTAGTGCTCTCTCAGTCCATTTGCATCTGGTCATTTCATGGGATATTAAGCAAAGCAAGAGACAGCGTCCTCATCTAGACTCTAGCCTGGGAATTCTGTTTCTTAGCAGCAGCCTCAGGGCTCTACCCTACTTCTCAGCTTAATGGCCTCCACTTTATCCTCTACATCATTGAAATTCAAACTACAGCCTGGAATGGGGAGGCCCTGCTCATCTGCTGCTTGCCCTGCAGCTCAGGGATAATTATTATTTTAATGAATCATTGATCTGTACTCTCACAGCCATCTCTTCCTCTGTAGTCTATGATTAGAAGACTTTTTAACATTTTTATTGACATATAACACACATACAGAGAAGTGCAGAAATCACACCTCTTATAGCCCAAACAAATTATCACAGAGTAAGCACCTCTGTGTAACCATCACCAGGTCAAGAAATAGAACAAAACAAGGACCTCAGAAGCCCCTTTCCCCTTCTTATCACTACCCCTTTCTCCTGTCCTCAAAGGTCTCCATTCACTTGACTTCTAACACCATATATTCATTTTGTTCATTTTGCCTGGTCTTGAAGCTTACATAAACAAGACTCTACGGTGCGTATTCCATCATATCAAGCTTCTTCACTCAAAACTATTATCTGCAAGGTTCTTTCATGTTGTTGCATGTAGCAGTAGTTTGTTCTGTGTATTTACATATAGTTTTCATTGCAAAACTATACCACAATGTACTTACCCACTCTGCTGTTAATGGGTATTTAGGTTTTTTCAATTTGGGACTATCACAAACAAGGTTGCTAAGAACATTTTTTTTTTTTTTTGAGACAGGGTCCCTCTCTGTCACCCAGGCTGGAGTGCAGTGGCCCAATCATAGCCCACTATAACCTTGAACTCCTGCATTCAAGCGATCCTCCTGCCTCAGCCTCCCAAGTAACTAGGACAAGTACACGCTACCATGCCCAGCTAATTTTTTTTTATTTTTTATTTTTTGTAGAGATGGGGTCTTCCTATGTTGTCCAGGCTGGTCTTGAACTCCTGGCCTCAAACAATACTCCTGCCTCAGGTTCCCCAAAACACTGGGATTAAGGGCTTGAGCCAACATGCCCAGCCAGCATATTTTTTTATGTTTTTTCATACATACATGCACACATAGACCTAGGAGTGGAATGGCTTCGTAGTAAGATATGCATACATTTGCCTTTAATAGATAACGCCACACTGTTTTCCAAAGTATGTGGGCCTCTTTATACTCCCATCAGCAGAGTATGAGGGTTCCAGTAGGTCCACATATTCATTAACACTGATATGGTCAGTTGTTGTTTTAGATTTTAGCTGTTCCCCTAGAATGCGTGGTGGGATATCCCCATTGTTTCTAGGCACGTCCCTGATGACAAGTGACGTTGAGCACTTTTCCTGTTGATTGTCATCTGGATCTCCTCTTTTGTGAAATGCTCTGTCAGTCTCTTCCTCTCACTGTTCTGTTGGACTGACTGTCCCTTCCTTATTTGCTGATTTATTTGCTGGAGTTGTTTGTATAATCCAGATAGGAGCAATTCTGTCTTGGACAAGTCAAAATCAGGCTCCAGCTCCTTCCCACTTATATTGGTTCTTCTGTTCTGTTTCCAGTGTCTCTGTCTTTGCTGGAATGAACTTCATCATGTAACAGAGAACTCACCTTTTCCAACCTTGCAAAGTATGGTGTTGTCTGGCACTCAGCTACCAAAAGAAAAAGGACTTCTTTTATCAAAGACACATTTTTCTTCTTTTTTAACTTTCAGATGACAGACGCTTGTCTTTTTCTCATAGGAATTCACTAAGAACTTCAGGAAGTGGCCTACACACTCCACAGCCTGAAAAGTTCTATCAAGTGCTTTAATGATCCAGTCTCTAATGGTACATGCTATGAGTCCTAAGGGAGAACCGGCAATAATTTAATATGCTTTATTGGAGCATAACAAAGACTGCCAACTTCTTAGCCAGGGATAGAAGACCTCTATTGCCTTCCATTCTACCTTCAATTTGCCAATCCACATTTTAGGGTCTATTACTTTTAACATTCCACTGCTAGGTACCGATTCCTGTCAGTAATCTTTTGCAACTCAAGCTAACTTACATAAAATAAAATAATAATAAGACGTGGGATGAGCGAAACATTTATTATGTCATGGAACTGAATCATCTGTCACAGCTGCATCCAGGTCTCAAGCAATTTCACTCGGACCAAGTTTCTCATCATCCCCCTTCTACTCTACTCATCCCTCTACCATCCCTTTGTATCAGCTTAATTCATCCACCCATTCATTCATTCAGGTAGCTAGGCAGGTGAAATAGCCCCCAGCAGTTCCAGGCTTTCAAACACCCCAGGATAGGGAGAACTTGTCTTTCCCAAGAGTTCACACAGAAGTCCTGAAATTCAGCCTTAGTGACCTGGCTCAGATCATGTGCTCACACTGGAATGATGGACACAGAGTCCCCTTCACACCCAAAGAGAGCTCAGTGTGCATTTCTGGAAGAGGCACAATGGAGACTGGGCAGGTGAAAACAAAAGGTATTCTTGACAGTTATTTACTAATTGAAAGCGTCTTAAAAACTTGTGACAAGCCCTATCACTTGCCTACCTAATATTCATCTTCCTTACTCCTCTTCCTGGCTGATGGACTCTCAATTTCACTTGCTGGGCAATATGCCCAGTTTCAGGGCATGAATCATAACCAGTCTAAACCAAGAACAATAAGCACACACCCCTTGTCCAGATTATTTAATAGGTGGATTTATAATACTCTCTGATGAATTAAATGGAGGGAAAATTGACTTGGGAGGTGATTTTTCCTTCCTCTAGGTTTAAGCAGAAAGCCCACTTGCTGTCCTAGACACCTACAAGCCTATTCCCAGCTCCTGCCTCTGGACGTAGTTGTATGTGGATGTGATGCCTGGGGCCACACCAGCCATCTTGTGGACTGCAGGGGGAAGGGTGAGAGAGCAGCAGAGATGCCAAGTTAGTGCCCTGGTGACATGGAATTACTGGCCCAGCTCCAGGAATACCATAACCAGGCTGCTTGTTCAGAATGAAGTATGTATAAAGCCATTGGTTTTCAGGTTTTCTGTTACAGCTGTATATATTCTACCTCTCCCATAATGATTCTCCATAAACACACAGGAGCCTCTCTTCATGCAGCCGTGGCAGGCAAGAAATAAGCAGGCATTCAGTCAACCATCCTTCCTGGATTATCCCTATCTCACAGGACACAAATCCAGGACTGAAAAAGGAGCACAAGGTACACACGCTCTTCCTGTCCCAGAACCTCCATCACTCTTCTCACTTTACTTTGTAGTAGCCTGAACCTTATGAAACTAACAATATTCAGTCAATGCCTTTTCTGACCTACAAAAAAGGCAACTCCATGTGGTTCAACCTAATGGTTACATATCTCTATGTGAACTAGTTGTCCACCTAAAATAATAAAAAGATCAGAATCTATTTTAAAGAGAGTTTATTCAAGAGCAGAGGTTGAGGATGAGCCTGCTTGGGATGCACAAATTCTAAAGAATGGAAGTCAATGTTCCAAAGTGTAGAAGTGTGGGATCGCTTACATCAACAAAGCTTAGGGAAGCTAAACAGAATTCAACATCTTTCTATATAAGGCTTAATGTGTTGTGCTCAAGCCTTGCTATATAAGGCTTGAGAGGTGTTGTGCTGCATGATAAATTTAGGGTGTCCTAAATTTTATTTACTTTTACAAGTGTAGAAGCAGAGAAATTATTTCCTTCATTTCCAAGCCACGGTGAAGCCTTGGACAACACAGAACAAAATAATAATAATAAATCGTGCTAGGAGAGATGTGGCAAAGATGCAGCTGTTGTTGAGTCACCCTGAGAGGAAGGCTTCCTGTTTATCAACTGGGTACGCAGCCTTGGCCTCTGGGTGCTCTAAACTAGCACTACTCAATAGAACTTTGTACAAGGATGGAGATATTCTATTCTGCGCTGTCCAACAGAGTAGTCACTATCCACATTGGCTCGCAGGCACTTGAAAGGTGGCGTACTGCGAAAATCTATTTTAATTATATTTAATTTTAATTCATTTCAATTTCAATAGCTACATGTGGCTAGTAGCTACTGTGTTAGTCAAAGTTCTCCCCAGACACAGAACCAACAGGAGATACATATTAAATAATATATCTAAACTAGACAAATCACATATTATGTATTTTATGTGTGTATACATATATAGAATATATATACATATTGCCTGCCACTTCTGCATGAAGAGAGTACACACACATAAAATACATAATGTGTGACATATATATATTATTTAATATAATTACATATATAACATGTATATATGTACACAAAAATATATATAATATGTGCTATGTATATTTCACACACACAAGCATACACATACATGCATACAGAGAGAGAGAAATTTTGAGAACTGGCTCACACAATCATAGAGGCTAAGAGGTCTGCCATCTGCCATCTGCAAGCTGGAGACCCAGGAAGGCTGGTGATGTAGTTCCATCCTAGTCTGAAGGCCTTAGAACCAGGGAGCCGATAGTGTAAGTCTCAGTCCAAGAGCAGGAGTAGATTGATGCCTCAGCTCAAGCAGTCAGGCAGAAATAGAGGCAAGTTCTCCCTTCCTCTGCCTTTTGATCTGTTCAGGCCTTTGACAGACTGGATGGTGCCTGTTCACATTCAGGAGGGCAATCTGCTTTACTGAGTCCACCAATTTAAGTGCCACTCTCATCTGGAAATACCATCACAGGCATACCCAGAAATAAGTTTTAGCCAAACAGAGTGGCATCCCTGATCCAGACAAGTTGACACATAAAATCAACCAGCACAGCAACCATTCTAGGCTTTTAATGACTGTTCTCATGACCTCATTTCACTTACAGAAACTGACCTGGGTCTTGCTCCATCATTTCTAGTATAAGCTAATTCTTACGGTAAATATGACCTGAATAGCCAAGTGCAGAGAAAGCTATACCAACCTAAACCCTTAGCTTAATCTAGATGGAGAAAGCCAAGGCATGTGTGACACTGCTGCCCTGGTTACCCAACAGGACTCATACCACAGAGAGTAATTTATAAGGACTGAAAATCAGCAAGAGTTAGAGGCTCCCCAAAAACAGACTTTAAGGAAAATTAGGTACTAACACCATCTCTTCAGTTCAGTTATTTATTTAAGGGTAATGAGGAATGGTGGTGACAGTTCAAATTCAAAATGTGTCTACAAGTTTCTCAACCCCTATTAGGGTAAAAGCATGTCCACTGCCAGACATGGCAGTGTCTATGAGTATCTGTGGTCCTCTTCCCCAGCACAGAGCTCTGCTCATTGGAGCAGGGTTCTAAGAGGGAGCTAAGAGAACTTTACATTCAGCCATCCATCTATTGATTTAATATACTGAAGGTCTCCTGTGTGTCAAGCACTGTTGCATGCCCTAGAGATACAGAGATGAGCAAAACAAAGTCCCTGTAGGCATGGAGTTTACTTTCAAGCAGCTCATATGAAGGCTCTTTGAAAATAGTGCCTGGAATGATCCTGCAAAGTCAACATGGATTCTCAAACAAGGCATCATGGTAACCTCCTATTAAAAATTGGCCTTCTTTAGAAGAGAGCTTGGTATCCTAAGTAATTTGGCATATACCCTACTCATTTGCAGCCTTTTCAATGCCAGAATCAGTCCTGGGGTATCTGACCAGGCTTCTATTCTGGAGTTCAGGGAAATCTCGAGATGTGTTATGCTGCATGTATCATGGCTGAAAAGATGACGACTGCCTTAACACAAGTCCCCAGGAAGGACCTAGCAACCGCTTGACTCCTCAGGTGCCAGTCACCAGAACATGAAGGGAGGTGGACGAACCTCTCAAAGGCTATGTGGTAGAAGCAGTTCAGGCCACCAGCATTGGCCTCTGCTCTCTCTAGAGTATTAAACAAACTCATACTTTTGAACTCTGCTCCAAACACTCCAGGACTAGACAACTCTCTGACACACCTAAGCCAGCAGGCTCATCCTGAGAAAAGAGTCCTAAAAAAGATATGATCAGTGTAGATGAAAAGGTACAAGCGTGGGACAACCTGACTTGTAAATTGACTGCAGTGACTTATTGGTCAATTTGTGTGTCATTTCATGGATTCACTCATTCACTTGGTGCATATGTGGCCAGAAATGTACTAAGTGCAGAGGGAGCAAAGATTTAAAAATGTATGGTACCTGACCTCAAGAAGCTTTTAAAGAAGACAGAATACTCAGGTGATGGAGGCACTAAAATCTCAGACTTTCCCACTATACAATTCATCCATGTAACCAAAAACCACGTGTACTCCAAAAGCCGTTGAAATAAAAAAATGTCAAAATTTAAAAAGAAGATAGAATAAATAAATTACAATACAGACGAATAAGCACTAGAAAGAAGACAGAGCCTGGGTCCCTCTGTGAGCACAGAGAAAAGGCCCTGAGCCAGGGCTGTGGGGTGGGAGGACGATCAGAGAAAGCTCCTCAGGGAAAACCAACCTGAGCTGAGTCTTGTAGAATGATGTAAACGCGGCTGGTGTGCCATGGTCCTCAACTTTCGCCGTGCCTCAGAATCCCCCAGGAATGGGCTAAGCCTGAGGCCTTTCCAGGCCAATTAAATGAGAACTTTTGAAAGCGAGGCCTTTTACCTTTGAAGGTGGGGTGCGGGTGGTTGCTGAAGGCTCCCCGGTGACTCTAACATGCAGCCAGGGCTGCAATCCACTATTCTTCCAGCAAGGGTGACATGCAAGTGGCACCTCCCTGACTGTTGACATTCTCAGGTTAGCACAGCACCAATAGAGAATTAAAACAAAACAAAGAAAACCATAGTTCGTATTCATTGCAGTAAACGAGTAAGCAGAAGACACGTTAGCAAGACCAACGCACAGAAAAATTCAGCAAGGGATAATTTACGTGGAGAAGAAACATGGCAAAAATTAAATGGCTCCAGAAAAATGTGAATTCTTTCATTTGGAGAAATGTATCACTGATTAAATGTGCTTTAAACTTAACCCTAATCTAAGCCTTAAATCAGGACAGCACAAAACCAGGGAAATAAACAGAAGGCCCAACTTATCCAAACACACTCCAGGGAGAGCTCAAACCAGAGGAAGGCATGTCTCTTGTTCCTCAGTGAGAGAAATTAGACTCAAAAGCAACCAAACAAAACACCTAGCATTTGAAAGAAGGGAAAGTGAGGAAGGAATGAAGAGAACAACATTAAATATACTAGGGAGAGAGGAGGGGAGAGAGAGAGAGAGAGAAGAAAAGAAAGAAAGAAAGGAAGGAAGGAAGGAAGGAAGGAGGAAGGAAGGAAAGAAAGAGAAAGAGAGAGAGAGAAAGAAAGAAAGAAAGAAAGAAAGAAAGAAAAAGAAAGGAGGACGAGGAGGAGAAGGAGGAGGGAGGGAGGGAGGGGGGAGGAAGGAAGGAAGGAAGGAAGGAAGGAAGGAAGGAAGGAAGGAAGGAGAGAAAATGAAAGAGGGGAGGGTGGGAGGGGCCCGGTGTGGTGGCTCATGCCTGTAATCCCAGTACTTTGGAAGGCTGAGATGGGCAAATCACTTGAGGCCTGGAGTTTGTGGATCATTTGAGGCCAGAAGTGAGACCAGCCCGGCCAACATGGTTAAAACCTGTCTCTACTGAAAACACAAATATTAGCTGGGTGTGGTGGTAGTGCACACCTATAATCCCAGCTATTCGGGAGAGCGAGGCAGGAGAATCACTTGAACCCGGGAGGCAGAGGTTGCAGTGAGCTGAGATTGCACCATTGCACTCCAGCCTGGGCAACAGAGTAAGACTCCGAAGGAAGGGAGGAAGGGATGAAGGGAGGAAGAGAGAAGGGAGGAAAAGGGGGACAGAGGGGAAGAAGGGAGGGGAGGGAGAAAAAGGAAGGAAGGGAGGGAGGGAGGGAGGGAGCGACAAAAGGAGGGAGAAAGGAAGGAAGGGAGGAAGGGCAGGAGGGAGGGACAGGGGATTTGCATGCAACCCAGCATGTTCATCTTTCTATTTTATGTTATGTACCTTTACAAAAATAGAATTTGCCAGCCAGGATTAGCCCTGAGGATTAGGCTGTTTGAAATCACTGTTCCTGCAGTGAGGGCCCATAGCTGATAAGCCAAAAAAGGGGTGAGACAGTGATCTTAGGAAGAATTGTGCAGGGCTGCACAAAAAAGAGCCATATCCTTCCTGCACCCCCTGGTGAGGAGCTCTCTTTCCCCAGGCAGAGCAGTGGTTGCTCACTTGACCAGCCTCTATAAAGATGTTAGTATTTCACACCCTGATCTTCCTGCTGTACCTGCCTCAAACTGAGTATACACAGTGAAGAACACTTGTCGCTGGGGTGTTACCTGATACGTTTGCTTCTAAGTGAGAATCCTTGGTCATTAAGCACCTGTTTTGCCATCTTAAATTCCTGCGCTAGGTTGTCTCAATTTCTTGTTATTGTAAATCTTACCTTCCTGGGGTTTGTGGTCTGCTTCATGGTATTCTTTTTGCAGGACAGGGGTAAAGAGAGGCCCATTCCCTACCAGAGAATAAAGATGCCCCATTGGTGACATAAAATCAAAATCATAGGCCCTGAATAAAAACATCACATAGGCCGGGCATGGTGGTTCATGCCTGTAGTCCCAGCACTTTAGGAGCCCAAGGTAGGCAGATCACTTGAGGCCACGGAGTTTGAGACCATCCTGGCCAACATAGCAAAATCCCATCTCTACTAAAAATACAAAAAATTAGCCTGGCATGGTGGTGCATGCTTGTAGTCCCTGCTACTCAGAAAGCTCAGATGGGAGAATCACTTGAACCCAGGAGGCAAAGGTTGCAGTAAGCTGAGATCACATCACTGCACTCCAGCCTGGGTGACAGAGCGAGACCCTGTCTCCAAAAACAAATCACATAAACCTCACCAGGCCCTTCTTACTTGCAAGAAATACATCAGCAGGATTCTCCTACCCTGAGACATACAGGTAATATCTAGGTAAAGTTAAATAGTAATAATAATAATTAGTAGTAGTAGCAATAGAAGTTTTCATCATAAAAAATAATAATAGCAATACTAATATTAATAGCAAGGTTCTTTTTGCTTTCTTCACATAAGCCACAGCCAACAAAGCAAGTAATCAGTTTTGACAAAGGGGTGCCTCCTCCAAGTTTTGAAGAGTTTCAATGAAATGGGATGTTGTTTAATGAACAGCAGAATGTTTAATTGTAAATGATACACATTGTAGACACAGTCCCTGGGCTTCTCCCTGGCACCTCCAAATCTGAAGTCAGGCAGGTCTTACAATCATAACCGATATGATTTGGCTGTGTCCCCACCCAAATCTCATCTTGAATTGTAGCTCCCAAAATTCCCACGTGTCATGGGAGGTAATTGAATCATGGGGGCAGGTCTTTCCTGTGCTGTTTTCATGGTAGTGAATACGTCTCACAAGATTTGGTTTCATAAAGGGGAGTTCCCCTGCACAGCCTCTCTCTTGCCTACCACCAAGTAGGACATGCCTTTGCTCCTCATTCACCTTCTGCCATGATTATGAGACCTCCGCAGCCATGTGGCACTATGAGTCAATTAAATCTCTTTCCTTTATAAATTGCCCAGTCTCGGGTATGTATTTATTAGCAGCATGAGAACCACAGTAGTAACTGCCATTTATTAAGTGCTTTCTAAATGCCAAGTGCTATGCTGACAGTATTCCAAACATTACCTCATTTTATCTTCAGAACAACTCAATGCGGTAGGTATTATTATTACTTCCTTGTATAGATGACGAAACTGAGGCTAAAAAGGTAAAGTAACTTACCAAGGTCACATGTGTCGTGACTGGTGCCACTAAGAGATTCAACCCATTGAGCCAAAGCTGGATCTTGAGAAACCTGTTCCTAACCACTATTCCACCACATGAAGCAAAACGAGGACTAAACTTGGAATCCAAAGGCTGGCTTCTAATTCTCTTTCTTCTTCTTGTCCTCTGAAGCTCTGCGGGTTGTTGCGTATCTCTGAATCTCAGTTTCCTCAGCATAAAATGAGGCTAGTCCTCTGCCCTGCCTATGTCACAAGGTTGTCACAGTGAATGAATGAATAAGAGGGGGTCTAGAAGAGACCTCAAAGGGCTGAAAAGCAAACAAAAAAGCCTGAATGCCATGGCTTACACCAATAATCCCAGTGCTTTGGGAGGCTGAGGTGGGAGAATCACTTGAGGCCAGGAGTTCAAGACCAGCCTGGGCGGCATAGCAAGACCCTGTCTCTATGAAAAAAAAAAATGTTTTAAAAATTAGCCAGGTGTGTTGGTGCATGCCTGTAGTCCCAGGAAGGCTGAAGCAGGAGGATCCCTTGAACCCAGGAAGCCAAGGCTACAGTAAGCTATGATTACACCACTGCACTCCAGACTGGGTGAAAGAGACCTTGCCTCTAAAAAACTAAATAAATAAAAATAAAATATAAGAAAAGGTCTGAGGGGAGGTACCACATCTGCCTGGCATCCCCAGTATTTTACACTCAATGTTTACTGAAGTAATAATGCATCTGAAAGTACTTGGAAAGCTACAGAGCATCATATCATAAAGTATGAGGTTCATGAATTGCTGCAGTGTGTGGCCACCTTGGGTGAGGGCCACCTTGGCTCTGCTGCTGCAGCCTCATCAGGCTATCTCGAGAATTCGTCTCTAAGGTGCATAAACCTCAGACCTCCAAGCACTAGAAATGAACATCACTCCATTATCCAGTCTACAAATTTCAGTAGTGAACCATAAGCATGCTGACCTGCTGCTTTCTAAAGGATGGTTCAGTTTATCAAGCTTTATGATGAAAGTGCCTATTCTGCATTCCTTACCCTCCTCAAGGTGCCCCTATCATTCCCCAGGCCCAGCACACAGCATTCACACCTCTGCTGTGTTGTCAGTAGTAACATCCTAGTGTTTCTCCTCAGCAAAAACTGGCTCAGAAATTAAAAAGACAAGAATGTATTCCCTAATGGCAAACGCAGCAACCTGGTTCAAGACTGTTATTCTAAGTGCAGTATCTCAGGAATGGAAAACCAAACATTGTATGATCTCACTCATAAGTGGGAGTTAAGCTACAAGAACGTAAAGGCATAAGAATGATCACATAGACTGTGGGGACTTAGGGAGAAGGGTGGAAGGGGTGAGGGATAAAAGACTACACATTGGTGCCATGTACACTGTTTAGGTGATGGGTGCACCAAAAATCTCAGAAATCACCACTAAAGAACTTATCCATGTAACAAACACCACCTGTTCCCCAAAAACTACTGAAATAGTCATAATAATAAACTACAAAAAAAAAGGAATATATTTCCCCTGAGAGAGAAATGTCCTGGAAGGTGAGGCATCAAACACCACTCCACGGGGGTGAGTAAACTCTCTGTGGTTGAGATCAGCCCCACTGCAGCCTACAAAAATGCTGTGCGTAATCTGAGTTTCAGCATCGTGGTTTATGAAATGGCTCCATTAAATAGGCTCATAGCTGGCATTTCTGTACAAACTGTGGGTTGTGCAGAACAGACTCCTGCCCCAAAGTGTGCTCAGCGCTGCCCCATAGGGGCAAGGGGGTCATCCACCACTGCCGCCAGCCTCCATCAGGTCAAGAGAGCAGAGAGATAGGGAGAAAATGCAAGAGACTGAGATAAACACACACACACACACACACACACTCGAAAAAAAAAAAAACCACACATCCCAGAACAGTCATACCTGGCCAACACAATATGCAAGATGCCTCATCTCCAGGATCCAGGTGAAACCCTCCCCTACTCCCTAAAAATAGCTCTTAATTTCCCCACCACTAAAACAGAAGCAGAATTGGGGAAGTGGGTGGAGCCATCTGGCTTTATACCTATATCTCCTAAAAAAAAAAACAAAAAAAACAGAGGGGGACCAGGGAAAGAGTGTGTCACGGTAGCACTGCCTAGAGACAGACTTTCTGGCGGGGATGGTGCGATGATGGCAGAGGGTAGGAAAATGTGCTGCAAAGTTTACAATCTGCCCCATCTGTTCAGCGCTGTTCTGTCCATGGCAGGCACCAAATGGCTCACTGGCTCTTGCCGTGCAGACCCATGCAGGGGCCAGGCTTCCTGGGGAAGCCTGCAGAGACTTGGAGGGCCAGCACCACTGTCTGGGACATGCAGAGGGTTTGCAGAGACCCAACCCCAAAAGCAGAAAGCCCATGACTCTTCATGGCAGCCCTTTTGCTTTGAGATCTAGGAACTTTTCATCTCTAGCATTGAGCTAGGCTTTGAAAACACAAGGATGAGTAAGATGCCATGGCTGCCCTCTGAGGGTCACAGTCTTGTGGGAAGCCCATAAATGTGGCCAAATGGTGGCACCTAGAGTTGAATATGAAGTTAGAAAGGTAAGTTGAGGCTGTGAAGGGCTTTATGTACCAAGCCAAAGTGCATGGATTTCTTTTCTCTACATTTGTGAGTCATAAAACATGATCGAGAGGGTACAAGAAGAAAATAGTAAAATGTTTACATTTTTATTTTTATACAATTAAACACATAATAAGCTTTATTAATACTCATGATAAGGGATGACCTTCATACCTTCACTTGGTCCACTCATCAGTGACCACAAGTCACAAGGGTCTTGAGTGATCCTGGGAAAAGAGTGGGCATCTTACAACGTGGAAGCGTTGACAGTGGCGATTCCACTTCTTGGCTCTCATTCAGCACGATATGTGCTATTATAGACAAGCCTGGGTAAGTGGAACTACAGACAGGATCCAACGTTTAACTAACCCCAAAGTGGGCAAGAGGCTGAAATATTTTTCTAAAAAGAAACTGTGGATTGAATAACGCAAAACAAGATGAACAGTAAGAAAGAGGCGGATCTGACAAGTTGTTAGTCACATTTCAAGGGCAAACAAGACAATACAATCAGATCTCACAAGCTAGCCAAAAAGTTTTCAAATCACCAAAAGACTATTTGAAATATGGCATGGCACATGCTGTTGCTAATGAGGAATCTAACCCTAAGTGTCATTGTGCTCAAGATATCAGTTGACAACACTAATGAAACCATTGCAGTTAATAAGACGTTTTAAAACATTGCTTTCATTTTCTTTACCATGTTTTTTGAATTAATATTCATGTACACTTTACAATGAGTATAATATATTGGTACAGTAATACATGTATGAAACTACAAATAAATAAGCATACATCTGCTGGGAGTGCACATTCAACACTTTTCACTTTAAACAGTGGTAATCAAATCGATGCAACTGTAAATAGCCTAGACTCCCGCCCAGACCCTCCTGTTCTTCCCAATGTTGGCTTTCACCTTCCAGAAGCAGTAGGAAAAACACTAAAAACATTAAAAGTGGGCACTGTCTACCAAAACTTTGTCAAAGATCATTCCAAAGAGTAAGACCTGCTGATTTAACCAAACTCTTCCTTCCTAGCCATGGCCATGTGCCAGAGAGGAACATGTACCAGCTAAATCTCAGCTCTGCAACTCACCAAGATGGAGGGCAATTCAAGTCAATTCTCTGGCCTAGCCCCCACACATGCAAAATAAAGGAGTTGTGTGAGATAGTGTGGGAGGTGGGGAAGGGGCTTCTATTTTAATGGGTTTTTTTTTTAATGTTTTTGAGACAGGGTCTCACTGGAATGCAGTGGCATGATCACAGCTCACTGCAACCTCAACCTCCCTGGGCTCAGGTGATCCTCCCACCACAGCCTCCCAAGTGGCTAGGACTATAGGCTTGCACTACCACACCCAGTTAATTTTCGTATTTTTTGTAGAGATGGATTTTGCCATATTACCCAGACTGTTCTTGAACTCCTGGGCTCAAGTGATCCGCCCACCTCTGTGGATCCCAAAGTGCTGGAATTACAGGCATGAGCTATTATGCCTAGCTTATTTAAATGTTAATTATTAATATGTATTTGAAAAATAGTAATTTTCAGCCAGGCTCGGTGGCTCATGCCTGTAATCCCAAGCACTTTGGGAAGCCGAGGCAGGCGAATCATGAAGTCAGGAGTTCAAGACCAGCATGACCAACATGGTGAAACCCTGTCTCTACTAAAAATACAAAAATTAGCTGAGCATGGTGGCACACACCTGTAATCCCAGCTACTCAGGAGGCTGAAGCAGGAGAATCGTCTGAGCCCAGGAGGCGGAGGTTGCAGTGAGCCAATAACACACCACTACACTCCAGCCTGGACAACAGAGTGAGACTCCATCTCAAAAAAAAAAAAAAAGAAAAATAGTAATTTTCCATTTATGATGGTAGTCTTTTTAAAATCAACTTATATAAGTTTAACAAGAGTAGATATGAAAATACGAAGGAAACAACATAGCTAGTGTGCAGATTTAGATGTCAAAAACTGGGGGCTGGAGTTTAACTGTGGACTCAGAAACCCTGGCTAGATGATATTTATCGAGTACCCACGTGTGAAACTCTATGATTATTCTTAAACTGTACGCATATAAACTAAAATATCATAAGTCCTTTAAGGGACTTAGACAAGTATGTTCCAGTTCAGTTCAGGTAGATCATTTTATCCCTCTTGGTCTCTGGCCCCTGATAAATAAAAATAAATGCAAATCAAAAGATGAAGTGGCTTTTTGTGGTGACGGCATCTGCTGCTGTTGGAGATGAGGTCTGAAGGAGAGGGGTGTTTGTTTGTTGCTTTAATAAAGAAAGCTCTCTGCCTTGCCAATGTGGGAGTCTAAAACTACTGTAAAAAGAAATGTCCAATATACAAATACCAGCAAACGGAGGGAAGTGCCGTGAGTCTCAGGCCCTGCCACTCAACCCAGACGCCCTCTCCCAGCAGAAACGTGCGGGTTTGGTGCCCCCTGCTGGCCCTTTTCTGACAGAGACTGACACCGAACCAGAGAGGGCCAGGGAGCCCATGGCAAAATGAGCCTCTCAATGGTCGTGTGAGGGCGCAGTCTTGCAAAAATGCACCTGAAACAACAACAATGCATAATGCAAAATTGTTAAGAAACAGATCCCATGAAGTAGCTCTGTGTCTCCTCCTCCAGGCCACTACACTGAATTAATATGTGACTAACAACAGTAGAACCCAGGGGAAAACTCAAAAGGCCTCTTCTCATCACTGCTTCTGTCCTCAGCCAGATGGGTCCCAGCGTTCTCCAGGTGCACTGAGAACACAATTAGCTTTTGCACCAGCCCTTACATGTACCAGAACTGAGGCTGGGAAGTAGGGCTTGGGGTTTGCAATCATTTCCTCAAGAAACAAGCTGGCCAGGCACAGTGGCTCACACCTGTAATCCCAGTACTTTGGGAGGCTGCGGTGGGAGGATCACTTGAGTCCAGGACAACATAGAGAGACCCACCCCAACTCTACAAAAATTAAAAATAAAAATAAAAAGCCAGGTGTGGTGGCACATGCCTATATTCCCAGCTACTCAGCAGGCTGAGGTGGTAGGATTGCTTGAGCCTGCAAGGTTTAGGCTGCAGTGAGCTGTGATCACACCACTGCACTCCAGCCTGGGTGACAGAGCAAGATCCAGTATTTAAAAAAAAAAAAAAGAAAGAAAAAGCTGGGACACATTGTAAATTATACAATGGGATACAGGCTGTGGGCAGGATCTCTGCTCTCAAAGGGCTTTCCATCTAGAAAAAGAGCTAAAAACAGAAATGGTTAGTAATGTCAGTTACCATTTATGAAGCTAGCCACTTTACCATTATCTCCAGTGCTAACAACAATGCTGTAAGCTAATCATTGCCATGTTGCATTTGTGTAAACAGGTTCAACGAGGCCAAGTGACACAGGCCAAAAGCGGGAGAGGCAGGTCTCCAACCCTGGTCAGCTTGACTCTGAACTCCATTCTCTGTTCACTCACATCATTTATAGCTTGGTCCCCCTAAACAGGTGGGAAGATAAACTACACCCACCCATACATGGGCACACACACAAACAGGGAGGGCACGTACCCATGACAGAAGCCACCTTAGGGGCTGGAGGGAGGTAAATGAGCTGGAGGGGTGGAAGGATGGGTGGGATGAAGGAAATACAAATGTGTTATTTCTTTTATTTTAAAAATAAACAAGGTTTAAAGCCCACATATACCTCATGGTATGCTGTTAGACAAAAATACTTTCAAATGTGAATAAAAATTGTTAAATGTAAGAAAGTCAACATTGGTTCATTTTGGTTGATGGGTATGTGGCTATTCATTATTTTATTCTCTGTATAGCTCCATTTTTTCTTTTTTTGTTTTTGAAACAAGGTCTCACTCTGTTGCCTCAGCTGAAGTGCGGTGGCGCCATCACAATTCACTGTAACCTCAAATACCTGGGCTCAAGCTATTTCCCGCCTCACCCTCCCAAGTAGCTGCAACTACAGGTGTGCACCTCCACGCCTCATCAATTTTTTAATTTTTTGTAGAGTTGGGGTCTCACTGTGTTGCCTAACTAGTCTCAAATTCCTGACCTCAAGTGATCCTCCCACCTTGGCCTCTCAAAGTGCAAGGACTACAGGCATAAGCCATCATGCCCATCCTTAGCTCCAAACTTTTAAAATTTTTCTTAAATTTGTTTTGTTTGTTTGTTCGAGACAGGGTCTTGTCCTGTCACCCAGGTTGGAGTGCAATGGCGTGATCATGGCTCACTGTAGCCTTCCCCTCCTGAACTCAAAGGATCCTCCAACTTCAGCCTCCCAAATAACTCAGACTACAAGGGCATGCCACCACACCCAGATAATTTCTTAATTTTTGTAGACAAGGAGTCTCGCTATGTTGCCCAGTCTGGTCACAAACTCCCAGCCTCAAATGATCTTCCCACCTCAGCCTCCCAACATCCTAGGATTACAGGCATGGGCCACCACACATGGTCTACTAAATAATATTTTTATTTAGGAGGAAAGAAGGAAAGGAATTGAAAGGAAATAAATATCCTCCAAGGATCTGAATATGAAATCATGGAAACCAGCCAGGCATGGTGGCTCATGCCTGTAATACCAGCACTTTGGAGGGCCAAGAAGGGCAGATCACCTGAGGTCAGGAGTTCAAAACCAGCCTGACCAACATGGAGAAACCCTGTCTCTACTAAAAATAGAAAATTAGCTGGGCGTGGTGGTACATGCCTGTAATTCCAGCTACTTGGGAGGCTGAGGCAGGAGAATGCCCGAACCTAGGAGGTGGAGGTTGCGGTGAGCCGAAATCGCACCACTGCACTCCAGCCTGGGCAACACGAGCGAAACTCCGTCTCAAAAAACAAAAAAGAAAAAAAATCATGAAAACCAGTCTATCCACTTTGTAATCACATTACAGTCTGACTATGAAACCACAGGTTCAATTCGAGTGGAGAATACTCAGCTATTTACACAGTGGTTTTTGTCTGGGGACCTCAAAGCACTTCACAAACACAAATTAATTCCACTTCTTGTCACCTCCTAAAAGATGGAGGAGTATTTTACAGATCATTAAATAAGGTCTGGGGAAAATGAAGTGTCTTATCTAACATCACACCATGAGTTACAGACTGAATTGGGAATAGGGCCCTGGAAACGACAGGCAGTCCTCTGGCCTAATCACAACTGTGCTGGCATCACTGATAAAAAAGGAACCTACAGCATCTGCCATTCCCACTCTTTTCATGATATATTGTAATGCACTGTGCCTTTAAGAAGCAAGCCTTTCAGAGAGGTCAGCCTCCCTTTCCTCACATTAAGCCTCATCTGAAAATACCCTACCATGCATAAACAGAGATCTTTTTCAGGGACAACCCAAACCACATCCTTTGGCTTTCATTCTGCATCTCCAGCCAGGCTGTGTTCAGTGCTAGCCTGTGGTGGAATGAAGCAACTCTCCTCCTTCTCCCCTTGCTCCCTCTCCCAGAGGACAAAGCCAGGGAGGAAGGGGGCAACCTGTCACCATCAGACCTCAGTGCCAGGGGAGGCCTGTGTGTGCTGAGCCAGGACAGAGAGCATGTGCTCCAGAACCCCCTTTGGAGTATCAGTCAGTAAACTCTGGTTGTGTCATCCTGGAACCCGGCTCTGGTACGGTTCCTCCTACCTGCCTGCCTGAGCCCCAAGGCATCAAGGTCAATGACTGGCCAGGATACTAATAAGGTTCTAGTTTTTTTTTTGTTTTTTTTTTACAGGGTCTTGCTCTGTTGCCCAGGTTAGAGTATGGTGGCATGATCATGGCTCACTGCAGCCTCAAGCTCCTGACCTCAAATGAGCCTCCTGCCTCGGTCTCCCAAAGTGCTGGGACTACAGGCATAAGCCATGTGTCCAGTCTTGTTTCTGGTTCTTGCTGTTGCCCACCTCAATTCTTAGTCTCCCAACTGGCCTCCGTGGCTCCCGACTACTGACAGTGATTGTTCTAAACACAAATCTGACCTTATGATGCCCCTGCTTACACTCTGTGCCTGCCCATCAGCTGAGGATGAAGTTTAAGCTCCTTCGCATGGGGAATGAGGCAAACTGGCCCCCACAGATCCCTCCAGCCTCTTCTACCACTGCTCCCCCTTCCCAGAAACAGAGCCTCTCATGGCGGAAGTTCCAAAGGGAACATCCACAGACTTCCCTCAGTGAGTCAAGAGGGAGGACTCCAGAGTCCAGTACCAAGTTTAAAGGGGCAGGATGAGGCGTGCAGGCCGGCGGCAGAGCCATGAGCTCCAAGCTGCTAGGAGCCCACAGGAAGCGGACTAAGAAAAGAAAGGCCTGATGCCCAGAAATGAGCAGCCAAAGGAGCTTCCTCTATGATTCCTGCATCAAGGGCTGGAAAGCATTGAGGAGGAGACACCCCCACTTTCTCAAGCCCCTTTCCCAGGAGGCATGGCTGGGGCTCACCCCTGGGACACACTGAGACTGTCCCCTGAAGCTCTTGAGGAGGGAAGGAGGCTGCAGGACTGCTCCTCAGGCCTGGACACCATCCCAGCAGGCCAGGCTGAGGCACCTCAATGACTCATACACTTGGTCTTCGGGTGAGGGAGGCACGGAAGTGCCAGAGACTGAGCATGGGTCTCATTGTCACAGGCCTGGAACCTCACACTTCTGTTTGTTCGGATTAATCCTGTAGCTAAGAGGGAGCTA